TCCCTACACTAATCTCAGACATCTCCCGCTAGTTCAGTGAAACAAAGTGACTTATTCTAGTTCGATTCTTGTACTTATTTTAGCCCTGCATTTTCTGATATGCATATTCCAGAGCAGAAGGAAAACTGAATGCACTATATTGCCAAACAAGGAAGAGATGTGATGCATCTGTCACTCAAAAGGAGCTAGTTCCTCATGAGATTATTAAGCTTAAAACCCGCAGGCTGACCAAAGGGCTCAGACTCTGAAATTAGAGCAGCTTGTGATGGTTAAATGCATCAGAGAACAGCAGCAGCTTCAAAGAAGTATTGTCTGAGCTGAGACAGAATGCCTTAAGTATGAAATGGTCTCTTGTTGCCAGAGGGAAGATGCAACACAGCTGTTTTCTTCTTTACAATCTCCCATTGAAATCTTGTTTGGTCGAGCACACAAAAGGGTTTATACAGATATTGCTATCTCCTGTCTCACTTGCATACAACTTATGTACAAAGCAATGAGAACGATACGTACACAAAGGGAAAAAAATCCCAATAAAATGTAAAAATGCTTTGTTGCTCCTGTAAAGGAAAAGGAGTAAAGATTAGTAGCTGGCACATTATTCCAGTTATGAAAGGAAACAGGTAAGTGAAAGGCCATCACCTTTTTCACAAGTTAAGAATTAACTAGATAATACAATGCACAGGCAGCCTACAAATACAACTATGTTTGCACTGCAAAGTGCTATCACTGTTGTATTGCTCCCACACATTTGAGTCAGATACACCATGCAAACATCCCCTTAGAGATGTATGCCTGCATCTGCAGCAAGAAAGGCAAAAATTCCAAGACACATCCTGCGCTAACTTTTTACAGAAGGTGAATTACTGCACTTAAAACTATCCCAATCCTTTCTCAAGATTGCCATCTAGTGGTTTGCTAAAGAAGTGACTAAATTACGGCATCGCCTCCACAGTTATGTACTGGATTTCTTTCAGAAGACAGTCTTTAAAACAATGCTTATTCTTTGCTTTTTACCCCTTTTCCTTTACTCATACTACCGAAATTATTCATAGCTAACCCAAAGTAATCTGGAATATAGTCAGTGTGAAATTCAGAAACAAATTAAATATGACAATTTATAAATTATTCCAGATACCTTTTCAAATGGGCATGGAGAGCTAGAAATAACAAGTTCCACTAGAAATCAGAAAGACCTGCATGCCTCAAGACAGTGTCTGCTTTTGGAAATCTCTCTTGAGTTTTCACAGGGCTGTTTTTAATAGTCCTTCCCTGAAGTCTACAGAACCTGGTGAGAATCTTTAGAGGATGCAAATCAAACCTCTGACCTTGAGGAAAGGATTGTACTGTATCTATCAGTATCTGCTAATGGCATCCAAAGGGTGAAGGCATAAGCTTTATGCTTTCAGCACACGGGGCAAAAGCAATACAACATTGTACATGTGATACAGGGACAGCAGGGTGCTACAGTGAGGTGTAGCAGCGGCTGCTGACTACACAAGAGTGAGTTTTCAAGAATATAGTTATTCTAAGTTGTAACAGAAAGCTAGTATTCTAGTTTTTAGGGACTTTTCTTGGGGCTTGGGAGAGTTCTTTCAGTTCTGCTTTTTACTTTGGGTTGTTGGGGTTTTTTTTTAACTGATGGAAGTTTTCTGAACTGTCTGACATATCTGCAATATAGATAAAAAACTACATAGCTGTACAGTGTCCCAGGACAGATGGTGTCCAAGCAGACATCAGTATTGACATAACATTAACTCCTCCCTATCATATCAGTTCTGACACTTTGTATCAGAACTGGTTTGGAAAGATGGATTCCCCCAGGACTAGGAAGATGGAATTTACTGACTTCTATTCCAATCTGCTTATGTGCATGTTGCCTTGCAATAGGGGATGCACCTTTCCAGACCTTCTTATCCACCATCCAGGCTGACAGAAGCAGCTACATTTCCTAAGGTAGTTTCAAAGCTGGGAAAGATTCCTCTTCCTGAAAACTTCTCTTCTCTGGAAAAAAGGAGCAGCCTGGACCTCAGGAGAAAATAAAAATCCACCTCCTGATCTTCCACACTTCCATTCACTACCCCACCGCCAGGAGACAAACACTCACCGTGCCTCAGAGACCAGACTGTGGTAACCTTCAGTAAATGTCTGCAAAGAGTCATTTTTTCCTCTGCAGAAGTGTGCCAAACTGTCTCTTCTGCCAGAGCATCACCTCACCTGGCCAGCAGCGGCTCCAGCCAGCCCTCATGGCATTCACAGTGGCAGTCCAGGAAGGTCAGGATGTCTCCTTTCGCCACAGACGCACCCAGCAGCCGGGCTCGAACCAGCCCCTCTCGCTTGTTTGCACGGATAAGACGCACCTTGCGTAAGCCAGCCACGTAGTTTTCCAAAGTCTCCTTTAAGTGTTCTGGAACAAACAAATCAAAACAAGAGAAGAAAAACACAGTCCTGGAATGACTGGTTTACATCATGCTACAGAAAGCTCTTTTTTCAGTAGCAAATTACTTAAAGCAGTGCCTTAAAAGATACTGGCATCTTAAACTCTGATTCTGCTACACTGTTCATGTTAGGAAAGCATAAGGAAAAAAAACAGAAGTTGGACTGACACAGATCGCTGTTACTTTTAAGAAACTGAGTGCTCCATATTCTCCTCTGTGATTAATTTTCAAATTGTTAGGTGCTTTTCAAACACTATGTAAAACTTCCACATTAAAGCTTTATTCTTAACACAATTCATGTGTGGTGGAAAATGCCACCATCATCTTTGTGTCCCATAATTCAAAAGAAAACAGGTAACCAGGTAGTTGTCACTATGCTAGACACCAGGGCAACCTTAGAGCAGTCAAAACTTGCCCACATTAGGAAACCTGAAAGGCTCTGACCAGCCTGTAGGTTATCTATATATGTAAGCAGTCATGTTACAACACAGCAAATGTGCTTCCCTATTCTAAACTAAATTTGGTCCAGAAGTGAAATATTTCGCTCGCACGCTACAAGAAAAACTATTTTCCAGTTTAACTACAAGAAAAACTATTTTTCAGAAAAACTGTTTTCCAACTTAGAAGCCTAAGTTGTACCATTTTATGGCATGTTACCCAAACTGCTTGTCTTTTTCTCCTGTGGACTGGCTGATCAAAACAAAAAAACAAACCAAAAAACCAAAACCAAAAACACACACAACCCACAAAAAAAAAAATAAAACCACCTGTCAACCATCAACATTATTTAGGATTATTCTTCCTACCTTTTTCACTGTAATCATCTACAAGGATAATTTCTTCCAAAAGTATATCTGGAGATGTCTCAAGAACACTATGAACAGTTCGCAGAAGTGTTGACCAAGCCTCATTATAAAATGCTATCACAACAGAGGTTTTCGGCAGGCTGTAATAATCGTATTTCTTCTCTCTGCACCTGTAAGGGGGGGGGACGACTACATTTAGTACAAGTGCAAAAGCATTTGTTAATCTTCAGAAAACTATTCTCAAATGAAGATTTTGTATGCTATTTGTTAACCATAAGCAAGAACATATAAAAGATATTAAAATAACTGTATGTACATTAAAAAGTCATGCTAACACCTTCAGGAAGCCGGTTTTCCAGAAGTCCCATTTCTGCAGCACCATTATGACTAAAATTCTGCAATCACCTAAACGTCTAAAAAGAGTAAAACAGGAGATATTCTGGGCTGGTGTATGTGCAGCAGCTGTCTTTGCACAATATTACCTCAAGAACAAGCAACGGCCAAAACATGCCTCGGATAACAGAAAGAAAAATAAAACCAAACTGCAGTAAAAACAGTAGCATAAATTACTGATAACTTGTGTTTTGGAAAATAAAACAAGTGCTAGACAGTAAAAATACAACTGTGAAGGAACAGCAACATAGAAAGAAAACAGCAACAGAACTGAGATGCATGTACACTGAAGCAGAATTTGGGAAGACCACGGAACTTCCAAGATATAATAGTGAAATCGGCAAAAAACTACACACAGACATAAAAATGCATGTTTTGGCTCTATGGAGAGCCAGGAAGTTTGCAAACCTTTGGATTAAGCTCCAGAATGTATTTCCTACAAATACATACATACACATACGAACTTCCCTAAATGAATGTAAGGATGCCAAGAAACTTACAGCTGTGCCAAATGTGTAAATTGATGAAGATTCCCCTCATCTGAAAGCGTTTTAAAATAATGACAGTATTTATTACCATTTCTTCTTTTTTTCTTTGAGCATTCTGCATGAGCAGCTTTCTTTAAAACCAAGAGAAATGGTCTAGACATGTTTGATTTTTCTTCTACCTTTAGCTTACTGCCTGGACTCAGTGGGGCTTATAAAGGGGCAGAAGGACTTACTTCAGCTTGCTGTAACTGCTAGATCACAGTAGATATTGGAGCAGGTAGGACATTCCTCCTACTAAACCAGAACAGCAGCAGTCCTCCAAAAGAACAAAGAAGGAAACCAGAGCTGATCAGTAGAAAATGTGACAGCAAAAGCCCTTAGGTCAATTTAGGGAAATCAAAATTTCCCAAAACACCCAGAAAATTACATTAAAAGAAAACTGCTTACTGACAGCACATTGAGAATATATTTACTAGCTATTTAATGCTGCTGTGTTCACAATAAAAAAAGACTTGCAGGTTTCTTTAAAGATTAAGCAATATCTATTAACATCTGTGGTACAGAAAGAAAATTAAAAAGTCTGAATTTTCCTAAAATTAAAATTCTTATGAGGAAAATAAAATGTCTATAGAGTTTAATATATTCCTGAAATACCATCCAGAGAGACTTTGACACGGTTGAGAGGTGGACCAATGCCAACCTTATAAAGTTTAACCAAGACAA